TAAAACATATGCCTATCTTCAAGGAGCTTACTATATGAGAGGAAAATCTGTGAAAAAGAAAAGCTAAATAGTGAATGGGAATTACAGTGGAGGGAAATCACAAGAAATTGATGGGTACCAAAAGGCCAGAGAAGTTAGACTTCCTTGAAGTTCAGAGATATCTCCCCACAGGAGGAGAGAAGAGGATGAGCAAGTGGTCAGATCCAAAGACAACATCCTTTGCAAGTTCCAAGGCAAGGAAGACACAGTCTGGTATGTTTAGGAAATTGCAAGTGTTTTGCTGTGGCGAATGGTAACAAAAGGATTTGCCAGCCCTTTCTTTCTAGCTTGCAATCATCATCTTAGCCACCATGTCCCAAAACCATAGATTCCATTTTGGTCTGAGGTTATGACTTAAGCTGAGCCCCAGCCTAGAGGAAAGGGCTTTCTACAGGGAGACATTTAGGGTTCTCATTTTTGGGTCAAATTATGCAGTGTACAGAAGGTCCACTCCAATTACTAATGGCTGTGTCAATCATGAGCCCTGTGATCTCTGAATGAGCTCCTAATAGTGTCGTTGTTGAACAGCTTCCTAAGCTCATTTAACTTCCCATACAATTAGGAAGGACACAATCTTGGCCTCTTTTTCACCTGCACAACTGCCTCTCTGCCAACTCAGTGGTTCTAGGCAAACCACACATCTAGATTTTCTGTGATTGCTGAATTCTAGAGTTTCCAGGCTACAGTTGGGAGATGGACAGTCTTTCAAACCTCTTATCCAGCCTGTACCAGGTACCACTAGTATGTTGCTCTGTGTCCTTTGGGCAACTTAGACTGTGATCTGCTGCTTAAGGCAAAGAGAGTCTCTGCTCTGGATATATTTTTAGGGGTCATTGTTGAGATGCTATACCCTCTACATCAACCTCCTCACATGCCCTTCATCTCACTTAGGTGGCTCTATTATTTCCCTTTTCTCTTCTTTCAGGGACTCTTTTTTTTCCTGTCCTCTCACTCGGAATAGTTTCACTTGTAGCCATAGCTTCATTGTCCAGTACAAACCTGATACAGTATATTTTCTTTTTTAAATTATATTTCACTT